CCTTTATATGATTATCTGGCTTTGTCACTGTCATACACTTTAAAAATTCATTGGATCCTCTATCATTTTTGTCCCAAACTCTCAATGCTATCCAGCCTTCTACCACACCCTTTTCTGTCATAATGGCACTTGCTTTTCCCTAGACCCCGCTATTTGTAATCCTTTTGGAAGAATCAAATAGATTTCTTGAAACATGGAAAGTGAGCAAATAAACACATAGTAAGGAGGACAAACAGAAAGTTTGTCAAATTTGCTAGAAAATAGACACACAGTGGGAAAGGTCATATAAGCAGAGTGTAACACAGAAAAAGAAACTGTCTAATTTTCCTCGCAGACTACTAAAATGCCTGAGGAATAACTTCTCTACCCTGAAAGATGACCCACTTGCTCATTCTTTTAAAGTGTAAAACAACCTAGATTGCTTCATGATAACTGAAAAATGCTTATTCTATCTCAATAATGTAATTATTTTTTCCTACAATATGCCATAAATCAAAGAGAAATTAGCATCAGTGGATACAGAAATAGTTTGTCAGGAGATTCTTTTGCACAGGCAAATCTAGCTTTTTCCTTTCACTCTCTGGTTTAAAACTTTTGATGTGTAAATTTCTGTCAAGCACCAGCTGAGAACTATTGCTCACACCCTGTTAAAGAAGACCAAGAATTCAAGAATAAATGCTCTTATCGGGAATGATGAAAGTAAAAAATAGAACTAAACAGTAGACAGAGCAATTACTTGAAATGGCATTTGCGTAAATGGATCAAGATCACCTCTTGCTATGCCTTGAGCTATATGTTGGGGTATCAGTGTATTCCAAATTAAGGTTTATCAAATGTTTGTCAATAAAGGCAGCAATCAAAAATATTTTCACTAATTGAACAATTTCTTCAGGATATGGGCCTAAAAAGTCCAAATCATCACCAATGTTGTCAGATATGTCAGATAAATGTACAACATCTTCAATGATTGGATCATAGACTCGTTGGTGCTGAAAGGTAAATATTGCTCTCTTGAATAATTCTTCATAAAGAGGGGGAATGGAAACAGAGCTGTACCTCAGGTGCTTAATCACCTGAAAAAAAGTATCAGATCATCACCAAGTGTACAACAGAACTTATTCCAACCACTGACCATTGACAGAGACATGAAGAATTAGTATAAGCAAAATATGCATGAATCGCTTAAAAGAATTGCAAGCCTTTACCATAATTTTCCCTTGTTAAGAACAGCTTTCTTTGGTTTATGTTGTTAAAGATATTCAATCTATACGGAGTATTCATGATGGCACTCACCTTGTCATAGCTTTTGAACTTTTTCATAAGTGCATGGGCCCTTTTTAGGCCCATTCCTGACAGTGACTGCAAATAGTCACAACCACTCAGAATGCACATCTCAAGCAGCATCTGTTTAGTGAATCCAGCAAAGCTCAGCTCCTTGTTTTGCTGTATCATGGAAGACTTAAACTCAACACCTTGCCCAAACTTGTCCATTTTAAAGATAACCTGCAATACATAAAAGGACTGTAACACTTTAGATTCATAATAGTGAAACTAAAAAAAGCAGAAAATCAAGTAACTTTTCATTGCAAACATGAGAGAGATTGTAGTTTGAAGTTCAGAATAATCAATAGATACACAACTCACTCTAGGACAGCCAAAGGGTATGAGATCAGAGTCCTCAGTGATAACTGCATCAACCTGCTTGCTGATAGCCAAGAAAGTCATTTGCGCATCAGCCTCATAAGGGGCCACAACAAAACATACATTCTCCTGCCTCAGGACCTTCCACAGACAACCATGTCAACAGAGAAAGCAAAAACAGTATAATATAAAAAGGAGTCTTTAAAGATTGATTCCTTCTAGAAAATTTAAGATCTCTTTCATAATACATTTCTTACCACAATTAGTTCATGTGCAATTGAAGGTGAAATGTCAACCGCCTTTTGGTAGCACTCATAAGCAGCAGCAGAATTTCCATAAGACTCATGCTCGATGGCTCGTGCAAGATTTTCCTTCCTAGCTCTGCATTTATGAGACATGAAAAATTTCTTTAGTCCACAATACTCATTCGAAGATCAGACCAATCCACTGTAGAGTCCATGTATATTGTGTAAAACTAGCCCCTGACACCTAAACTAGAGAGAGAGAGAAACAAGGGGGGGATCACAATAGAGAACAACCAAAAGGCAGGTTGACTTTGTACATTCTTAAATAGACATGAGGTTGGCTGGTATGAAGGGGAAGTGCTGTGAACCAATCACAGCACATTAGTGAATTCCTTACATGAAGCAATATGATGAAAAACATAGATTCTCTCAAAGAGGTTTCAAGTAACACTGCCTATCCAAACCCTGGCCTCAGGCTTATATCACAACCATGGAGTCACAGTGACCCAAAATTTTTGCTCTATCAGAACAAGAATGATCAGTAAAAACAATTTATGAACCTGGTGAATACTGAAGCAGAGCTATATGCACACCAAAGTACGTCAAATGTACGTTAAATATATAAATCTTGATCCCTGTAATAGATAGGCAGCTAGCAAAAGACGACAATGCCATGTAAATTAGGACTACAACTTCTTAAATAGTTTACCTATTTCCTTAGTTGAATAGCAAGGCAAGACAAATTTATATTTATATTAAATCCAAATCAAATTTAGCATTTTTAAAAAAGATATTTAACAAACCTAGCACGCTTGTTCTCTTGTTCAATCTTCATTGGTAGAAGGCCTCCATCAAAGACAAGAACAGGTTTAACACCATAATGTCGCAGCAGATTTACCCTATGCATGCAATACTCAATGTGCCTATAGGATCAGAAATTAATGCACCCATGTTAGAATGAAAAAAAGCAGAGGAATAAATCTTCCCTCCATCCGTGTGTTCTTTCTTCATCCATCAATTTTTTTTTTTTGAAAAGCTTCTTCATTAATCATTAAACAAGGTGAAACTAAAATATGGATGGTTTGATTTGCCATTAAATGGGAACTTAATAAAACACTCAAAAAGTATGCTTTTCCAATAAATAAACCCTTCATAGATACACTTTATTATGCCCATTGATTATTTGGAAAAATATACAATATTTTACCAAACCATAAATTCCAGAAAACCCATTTCTCTTTTACCGTTAAACTTCCCTAAATTAAGAAATATAAACTGAAATCATCAGCAAAGAAATTACTCCACAATAACCCATTTTAGCAGTAGAAGAAAAATAAAGAATATATACAGAGGCATGCTTTTGATCATTTTAGAAAAAACCCATCACCCAAATAACCCAAATTGATAAAATTTTAATAATTTTCACCTGGATGAGGCAAACCTAAAGAAAAAGAGGGCAACGTCTTCAAGACAGCAGCATCATTGAAATAATACACATTACCTTATTTCATCCAAAACCTGGAAATCCCCAATGAAACAACCCACAAACAGATATTCACTGGCTGTGCCTGTGCATTTATAGGGTATAAAGAAAGAGAGACAGAGAGGGACCTGGAGGTGGGTAATCCTTTGCAGAGCTCAGTGCTGCAAGACAAGGCGCCTTTGTGGAGCCAAGAATAGGTATCAATGGCCACACTACAGCCCTCAAGATCCTTGATATGGATTGGTACCATTATTGATTTCAATAGAGGCAAAAGCCCTTGTATCCCCATTCCTCTTCTTCTCTCTGAATCAGCTTGGATTTCGGGGGCTAGAATTTGTAACAGTACAGAGTGAAGACTGAAGACCAGCGTCTTAATCTTGCTCTCGGGACATCGTATTTGCAGAGAAACGAGAAAGATTGGAGGTTCCGATGTTGCAGAAGAAAGTATTAAAGGCCAAATTTTTGGGCGGGAAGAATTGGTGGGATGATTTCATGGGTCCCATTTCTGTGGATCAAACAAACCCAAAAGTACCCTTTATTTTACTGGACGAATAGTCAAACAGTCCGGCATATTACTAAGGTATAAACTTATTTTGATGGACCCCTAGTCTTTTTGAAAATTTATGAATTATTTTAAAAATTTTAAATAAATTCTTATTTTTTATTTAAAATTTAAACAAAGTGTTGTATTTTTAATTAAAATTATATTTGTTATTTTACATTCATATAATATTGACAAAAAAATAAAATTATTACATTAACACGTAATTTTATTACACATTACTATTCATTGGGATATATCATTATGTTACATAATATAAAATTAATAAATATTATTTTAATTAAAAATAATTAATCCATTGTTAATAATAAGATTTTTTTATATCAAAATACAAGATAAAAGCTTATGCAAACACAATAAAAATAATAATTTAAAATAATTCAAAATTTTTTTAAGATATTATGTCTTTATTTAACAACATTTATTTAATTCTTATATTTCGTCCATTATTATACTATATCATAGACATTGGAAAATGGTTGTAATTTTGAAAATCAGATTTTTGTTTTCTTATTACTTTAATTCCTCACATAAAACATTTAAATACCAAAAAAAGAAAAATGTAAAGAATTAGCATAAGATTGTTTATTTTTTGTGTATAACAAATACATACTAAGTTATAATATATGGAAGATGACTGGGGAATGTAGTGAGAGAAAGAAGGAAGAGAACACATGGATGACATATACATGTTATTCCTTATTTTGTGATAAGCAAATAACTTTATTAAGAAGAAACAGCACATTTTCCCCAACCCCAAAGATATTTGGTTTTCCACTTCGAGGTTTGTATAAGAAGAGGTGGAGGGGACTGGAAGACTTGGATAGGGTATGGAATAATCCAAAGGTTGGAATATCCACTTATGGCATTGTTGGGCACGAATAGAACATGTGGCTTACACAAGTATGTGGAGTAGTTGTACTAGCATCTGTGTTAGAAAGGTCTCACATCAGGTGAGCCAAGTCTACCGGCCCCACTTGGATCTGTCTATAATCCTGCACCAGGAAAGTTGATTTCAATTCTACACCATATGTCTTAACTAACTTTTCTTTAAGGGCAAACAGACACTTCTTTTATTTATTTTCTTCTTTTCTTTTTCCAGTTTTTGTGGTTTGATTTCTATCTTGTTAATTTTGTGGAAACAATCCATGAAAATGGCAGTGATGTATCAGAAAGTGGACATATCTTGGATCAGGCTGGACCATTTAATTTTTTGCCTGTAGAAGGTAATTGGCCCAGGCTGAGGCGTTTTTTAAACTGATAGATTGTGATCAACACACAACAGTAAAAGAGCATAAAATAATGGTGCCCAGAGAGAAATGATTGGACAACGAAAACTAGTGGTTTGTGAATCTATCCAATGGAAAATAAACAGAAAAGTTGCTTCTGTTTTTTTTTATGTGACTTGATCGTTTAGCTGGTGTCTTGTATAATTAGAAGCTTGTTCTTGGGATTTATGTGCAAAAGTACAAAGGAGGAAGAGAGAAAGTGGGGAAAAGAGAGAGACATATTTTGAGTTTTGCAAATGTCTTCTACAGCTTTGTCTTCAGTTTATGCAGTTTGCAGTGATGCAGCTGGGGTTGCAGGTAGCCTGTCAATATTTTCCCTGTTATCTGTCTCTCGAGCTTCCTTTTTCACCTCTCATGTTATGCTTGATGTCTAGTTTTGCCCCATATTTTGAAATGTCAATCAGCAAAACAACTGTTTGTAAAGTATCCTACATGATGCGGTTTTCCAGTTTGACAATTTTCCATACCAATTCTTTCCTCTTCTTGCTTCTAGTTCCGTTTCTTTTAATGGCTGATTTCAGATATTAGCAAAAATAATCATGGAATAGAAAAATGAGCTACAATTTGATGGCTTGAGATAGAGTTATCAGTATCCAAGAACATGGAACAGTTTAGATGCATTGGTTACAGTTAACTATTTGTCTGCTCATCTGTTTAGAATTTGCAGAGGACCATAATCTTCATAAATTGCTGAGAAAACAGCAAAGGGTGATAGGAAGTTTGAATTTCATTGTTGAAACACATTCTTATAAGATCAATTATTTTTTCCATTTTGATTTGAATCGCCGGGATGGCTTGAAGAGTATTCTAATTCTCATTTGTTGATTTCAAATTTTTCAGGTAACATCTTTGCTTTGGTGCTGTTCCTGTCACCTATGTAAGTTATTTTAAATCTCTCTAAGGATGTGACAAAGATCATACGAGAAAGCTGAACAGGAAAGGCTCATTTACGAGGGTTTCTTTCTTTTTCTTCCAGACCAACATTTCAGAGAATAATCAGAAATGAGTCAACAGAACAGTTCTCAGGAATGCCCTACATTTATGCCCTCTTGAACTGCTTGATATGTCTCTGGTATGGCATGCCCCTTGTAAAACCTGGTATTATCCTGGTGGCAACAGTAAATTCCACTGGGGCAGTATTCCAATTGATTTACATCTGCATTTTTATTCGATATGCTGCAAAGCCAATGAAGGTACTTATGTTAAGAATTTAGTAATTTGTTTAATGGCAGGATGGTCTTAGGAATGCCCTTTTATAGAATTTAACATGAGTGTCTGTTGTCCTCTGGATGTTGTTTGCAGCTGAAGATGTTGGGATTCTTGATATCAGTTTTTGCAATATTTGCTTTGATAGTTTTTGTGAGCCTGAGATTCTTGGACTCTCCATCGCGGCAACTCTTTGTTGGATATTTAAGTATTGCATCTCTGGTTTCCATGTTTGCTTCTCCTCTACTCATAATTGTAAGTTCATCACAGTTTCTGATATATATTTCGACCATCCAGACTGCAGAATTCCTTCTCACTTTATGTTGTTTTCTGTACATTCCCATGCCAGAATTTGGTGATCAAAATGAGAAGTGTTGAATACATGCCATTCCCTCTCTCTCTTGCAACATTCTTGATGAGTCTGGCTTTCTTTGTATATGGAATGTTCAAGCATGATGCTTTCATCTATGTAAGTTCTCTCTCTTGCCTTCGTTTCCACTGTTCTATTTTGCTCCAATGCCAACTGATTCAATCACTATCAGGGTAAGGACTACCGAAGGTCCCCCAATTTTGGTCTCCAGCAATAACTATCCGAGTCTTCTTCTAATATTCTTCCCCTGGTACAGGTTCCGAATGGAATTGGAACAGTTTTGGGGACTGTCCAATTGGCCTTGTACGCCTATTATAACAGTGCTTCCAGAGAGGAGTTGAGGCATCCCCTGATAAATCCTTGAGCAAGGTGAAAGAAATATTGCTTGCCATTCAGCTTTTCCAGTTTGTTTGCCATAGGAAGTTTTTCGTTTCCCTTGAGACCCTGGAATTTGATTTTTACAGCTGCATAATGCAAGCAAATTCATGTTGTAATCTGTATATTTATCAGGCAACTTAGATTAAACACCTCTGGTGTTAATGTTATTATTGTTGTTGATCCTCAAAAGAATCAAAATCATGGTACTTATCATAATTGGAGGAAGAAGCTACCTGAATAATTGCAAATCTATGGATTGATGAAGCTTCAAGAACAAGATCATGGCACAAACACAGTTTTCTGTGCAATACTTTCTTTCCACCATAAAATACTAACTAACAAGGACATGTTGATGTCTGTTTAACTTACTGGCATTCTCGAGTGTCGACCACACACACACACACACAAGAAAGAAAAAGAGTATGAATTGGTACTTCTAAATTTAAGGTCACATGCACTTATCTAAATAAAAACATTACTTACATTACTATTAAAATTTTCAATTAATTGTAAGTTTAACATCATAGGTCATTAATATCTCCATTAATATAAAGATATAATACTATAAAAAGTTCTTGAATTATTAAAAAAATTTTAAAATTTTTTATTTTTTTATTAAATTCAATTAAGTTTTATATTTTTGTTTAAATTAAATAAGTATTTATAACTTATGCCTAACTATTAAAATGACATTTGTCCTTTTATGATCACAACTGTCATGTGACGTCATTATGTTATATCAATATAATACATCATTATTTATAATTACTTATTAACATATCAACTGATATAAAAAATTACATATGTTATTTTAATTAATAATAATAAATTAATTATTAATGATAAGGACATATTTGATCGAAAATAAAATATAAAATTTTAATTAAATATTTATTGGAATTTTTTTAAATAATCTAAAAATTCTATTAAGTGTTATTACTAATATAAATATGCCAACAAGTTTATAATGAAGTTAAAAAAAAAATTATTTTTGCATTTTAAGAATATTTAATTGTTAATTTGCTAAAAAGAATGTGTAATTACAAAAGGTAATTCTTCAATATTTTTTTAAGAAACTTATAAAGGTGAAAGTGACATGAAAAAAAAACGAATAAAAGAGAAGATATTTAAAATACTAATAAAATAGCAAATTACTAAAAATTACATGTTAAAAGATATAAAAGGACTATAATACTTTTTAGAATAATAATAATAATATATTTTCAATAATAATAATAATAATTTAGATTTTGATTAAATTAAATTAAATTTTTATCTTTATCCAATTTTTAAAATTTTTAAAGTTTATTTAAATCATCTCGATAAAAAAGCAAAGGTACAAAAAAATGTCTGCGTCAACACGGAGAAGTTGAGATAGATAATAAAACCCTAGAGTCTTACACTATCCTCTTTCCTTCTCGCAGTGGAGTAAGAGTAGCGGTGAGGAGATAAACCCTAGCTTTTTTTTCTCACTCTCTCTTCTCTTCTTGCTCTTTTCTTTTTTTTTCGTTTTGATTAAACTCATGTCTCGCTTCTCCGCTCGCTCGTAGCTCTATCGCCGTCGCGGATCGATCGATCTATTGGTCAAAGTTGATTTTTTTTTGTTTGATTCGATTTTCGGTAAGTTCCACAAAACCCTAGCTTACTTTTGTTTCCGAATCGGTTCAAATGTCGTGCTTTTGTTTGATTTGGTGAAATAATGTCATCCTGAATGAGTCGGCTAGGGTTTTGTCATGAATGAGTCGGCTAGGGGTTTGTCATCAATGAGCTTCTGATTAGTTTTCTTCTATTACTTTTTGGAGGGGTTTTTAGTTTCAATTGAATATTTTTGTTCATCGTAACTTCCTTTTGTTCCTCGAAGTATTTATGCAAAATTATGTGTTTACGTTCCAGAATTTTCAGTTTAAATTAGATATAACCTCCGTTAGGGTTTTGCTAATGCTTGATCCAAATTGAATTTCCATATTTTTTAAACTTATATCTGTTGTTGCGTTTGTTCTGAAATTTTGCTCTTTGTTGGTCAACTTTTTGCCCTAAGATTTTTTTTAAAAAAATTTTTCCGTGAAAAAGGAAATAAAATAATTGGCTTTCTATAATTTTGGGGTTTTCATGCTTTACTTGGTTTTTCGATTTGGGCTATTGGTTTCTTCTCAACGCTTGGACATGAAGAAACCCCTATTGCAAGTGGTTAGCTTTTGCTTCTATTGAAATTTCTTAGTTTTACTCATGATTCCATGCTAGCATGACATGTTACCATTTGTTTGATGAATTTTGTGATAAGCGTTTTGTGTAACTACGTTGTCTGATTGTTTTGATATTGATCCTGCCAATAAAAGTCATGCTTTTATGTATTATTTTTATTTAATAACTTATATGTAGTTTGTAGCTGCTTCAAGAAATTTTACGGGCTTGTTTAATCTTGTTTTTTTTTTTAGTTTTTTCCTGGTGTTTGGCATCCCAAAATGATTGCTACGGAAAGTGTTGTGCCAAAGCAGAGGTTGAAGATTAAGTTCCCTTCTCAAAGGATAGAAGCAATTTCTGCACCACAATCTTTTGAGTTTGGGCAGCAACTGAGCAGTTCTTTCAATGGAAAAAAGACATCATCTGCTGGGATTTTGAAAGGGACTTCAGGTTCTTACAAGCGTGGAGCAGAAGGGGTGATTGTGGACAGTCGACCTGAGAAGAGGCGAAAGATGGATCGTAGTATGACTCAGCAGTGTTCTGCCCTACTGAAGGCACTGATGAAACATCCAGCTGGTTGGGTTTTTAATCAACCAGTGGATCCTGAAGCATTAGGGATTCCTGATTATTTCTCGATAGTAAAGAACCCTATGGATTTGGGTACAATTAAGTCCAAGCTAGTGAAGAATACTTATCTTGGCATTGAGGAGTTTGTGGCTGATATTAAACTGACGTTTTCTAATGCCATGTTGTATAATCCCGCTTCTAATAATGTTCATAAAATGGCAGAAGAAATGAATGAGTTTTTTGAGGTGAGATGGCAATCTTTGGAGGACAAATGGAATCAAGAAGATCTTAAAGGTGGGCATGGGAAAAATTTGAGTGTGAGACTGAAAGATGTTAATGAATCAAAACAGAGTTGTCCTAAAAGCCAGCTATCCCGAAATTACTCTTTGCCCAAGATGTCAAGGCCATCTGAGGAGAAGGTTGTGAAGGTACCTTTGAATGGAAGAGCAGCAGAAGTACCGTTCATGGTATTTCTGAACATACATGCTTATGCTTATTTGTGGTGATTTAGATTGTTGTAATTTGATTTAATTATTAAAGAAAGATGCTGGATTTTAAAATTGCATAGTAAGTCAGAGTTATAGTCTATGTAGTTTTTGCTGTGAGCATCCTAGTTCTGGCTTTGAAGCTATGTTTTTGCTCATTTTATGTTGTTACCATAGAAGTTTGCATTTTGTTTTGATGCTGAGTTTCTTGGCTTGTTTATAGGTTGAGCTTCCTAAACCAGCACAGAAGTGTGTTAGCAGGTTGGCAGGAAAAAGCTTACAAAAAGGTATGAAGTGGCAGAATAAAGTCTGCTTTATGGCTCTTTATAGGGGAGCTAATTTGAGATGTGTCTTATAGGCACCACTAGTGGTGGGCGTGCTCATGGCTCTATCAATGCCAAGCCACCATTGAGTCCAGGTGCTTGCAAATGCAGTTCATGTGGCAGCATTAAGTGTCAATGTAGCCTTCCAAGTGATTCAAACCATGCATCTTCCAGCGGTTAGTTGATAATTTCTTGTGCGACCTAAGTTTTGTTATTTTAGGCCATGACTTAACCTTTTTTTTTTTTTTGGTTTAGATGTGACTTCAGAGAGATCATTGGGTGGAGATCTTAGAGTGTGTAGAACTGATGCCTCTAAACTGGTATACATAGTGCTTTTATAGTAGCATGATTATTGTTATGATTAGTGCCATGAGATATGTTGTTGATATTTTATATTAAAATCTAGGATTGCCAGGCTAAAAGCACATTGACATCACAAATGAGCAAGTCTGATCCAGATTCTGATGGTGAGGAAACGTTTTGATCGTGTTTCATGATTTTCTACTTGATTCTTGATTCGAGTATTGAAATGCTTTTAAAAATGTTAAGGGGCTGTAAGTGCTCTGGATGATGAGAACGTTTGTCTGAGTTCTCAACTTACAACTCCTGCAACAGATGCTGCATCTGGTGAAGGTCAGTTTATCTGCTGATATTAACTGTTAGTTTCTTCCTTGTGCCCTCAATAATGGATGTGGCTTGTGGTGTTATTGTAATTCCATCTGTGGAATGTTTAATGATTTTTCTTTTCATTATTTGATGTAGGATTGTTAACTCCTATTTTTGCTATTCAAATGTCGCCGAAGAAGGCTCTCCGAGCTGCAATGCTGAGAAGCCGTTTTGCTGACACGATTTTGAAAGCTAAGCAGAAGAGACTACTTGATCATGTAAGTTTCTGCTAGGGTATATTTTGGATGCCTGTTGTATATTTTATGTTGTGTGGTGTTGAATTAGTGTTGAATAGCAATAACTTATGCTGCCTTGTTACTTAGGGCGATGAAGCTGATCCAGTGAAGATGCAGCAGCAAAAGGAAAAATTGGAAAGAAGGCAGCGAGAAGGTGATCTATTATATTAAGCTTCACACTTGTTCTGGTTCTTGACTTTAATATTTGTTGCATTTTAGATGATACACTGATTATTAATGGTATTTTTTATTGATTTATTCCTTATTTTCTTTTGGCCTCTGAAAAATGCAAAACTTATGCGTACTCATCAAATAGAATCAAAAGAAATAAGTGAAGTTCTCTGAAGGTGTTTCAAGAGACATGTATGCCGTTTGAAAATCACTTATTCACTTAATGGTTATTACTTATTTATTTATGCATATATTTTCAGCTGATTTTATATATGAACTGTTAGATGGCACAGCTTATTTTATTGCTTGTCTTCACCATATTAATTTTATCAGGATGACAATATCTGCCTTCCTATACAATATAATAAATTTGATCCCATCTTATATAAATTTGAATATTATAAAGTAGGTGAAATCTTTATCTTATTTCTGAGATACCTATATAGGCATTATTTTGTGTGATTGATTTATAATACTAGCCCATTTGGTGCATAATTTTTTGGATGCTGGATATGGAGACTAACTAGTAGTTGTTCGAAGCTGGATAACTAATTTAAGGCAATTGTGTGCTTAGAGGTCTTATAGAGGATTCTTGTATTCTGTACAGAAAAGGCAAAGATTGAAGCTCAAATCAGAGCTGCTGAAGCTGCAGCAAAAATGAAGGCAGAGGTCGAGTTGAAAAAGCAACGGGAAAGAGAAAGAGAAGCTGCTCGAAATGCATTGCAACAGGTTCACATTTTAGTGTTTTTGTTTTGTCCATATTTCTACTACTGGCTTTAGGGGGTTAGATCACTGTAATACTGTATTCAAAAGTTGAATTTAGAGCATCAGCTGATGCTGTTATCTTAATTGCCTGGATTTTCAGATGGAGAAAACAGCTGAGATTGAACAGAATGTGGAGATTGTGAAGGAACTCGAGATGCTGATTGGATTCTCTCTTTCTAATTACTGGCATGGTAGGAGAAATCCACTGCATCAGCTGGGTTTGTTCATGAAAGATGAGTATTTTGAAGACGACCATGAGGATGCAGTTATGAATGAAGTTGGTGAAGAGGGAGAAATATTGTCATAAATATATATAGAGCTCTTGTTTCTTTCATCTTCATTGCAACAGCCTTTGTTCCATCTCCTTGTTAATATTGTTTTTGTGGGGGACAGGAAAAAAAGAAATTAGTATTTGTAAATGAGGTATTTTTTCAGGGAATTGGAATTTTTGTAAACAAACACGTGTATATTTAATATAGAAAAGGTATAAGTATAGTTTCCATCATAGCTGCACCCTCCCTTTTGCTTTTCTTTGTCTTTCTTTGTATGTATGATGTTTGTTGTAGCAATCAAGTCTTGAATGATATGGTTTTTCTACTTTAGTAAATTATCTTAGCGCATTACCTTAATTCCTTCTTGTTTTCTCGAATCCATCAATGGAATTTTTCATTCCGGTAGAAATTTTGGACTTCAAGCAAAAGTTCTGTTAAGCTTCAGTCTTATAACTGTTTGCTATCATCAAAAAGGCATTGACGTGTAGTTTTATGTACATAAAATAAAAGGGCCAATTTCCATTAGATAAAGTCATAAAGATTATACAATCTAAACCTAAGTCCTTTGAAGGTTAAACCAAGCTTACTAATTATACAATCAATACCCACCCATAAGCGAAAACCTTTGTCAGTTCAGTCACTGTTGCGTAAACACACACCAACAAAAGCACTACGTTACAGCAGCAACATCTCTGTAATGAACTTACACTCTAATTTCACTTACATGTGAACTCCCAATAGAACTAAATTCACATTTTTCTTCATTTCCTTCCCAACAACAGCATCACAATTTTGATACGTTATGATAATATCTATGAACTTCAACCTAGGATACTGCAAAGAGAAAACAATGCAATGAAACAGGAGTCTGAAATTCTTGAGAAAGAAAATGCAAGCAAAGAAGTTGAATTAACGACTTAAATAAAACTTCAATTCCCAAATATGGTATCTTATACAAATATTTGATATTCGAGATATGGACATAACCCAGTCGCTGAAGCGGAGGGAAGAAAGAGCTTGAAGCGATCGGAGGATAGATCTGTCTTGAGTCTTTCCTTTTGATGGAAATACATAAGAAATTATAAATAATTAAATGAATATATCGTATTATTTCATAGAAAGAAAACTAGACATTGAAAAATTAAAATAACAGTTTTTTTCTCTTATATTTGATTTGGGTCATTATATAAGAACCATGGGTCTTAGACTTTGGGTTCCCCTAATTATCACCACACAAAAATATTAAGAGAGGAAGCCTCTGTTAGCTGATAAAGGGGAAACCCAAAGCGAATAGAAAGTGAAAGGAAGAGAGAGCGAGAGAGAAAATATGGGTGTGGAGGAAAATCTTAAATCTTCGAGCATCAATGAAGAAGAGAACAAGAACCCTAACCCTAACGTGAAAGAGGACGAAGAGGACGAGCCGGAGGAAGGTGAGATCGTAGGGGAAGATGATGATTCGACGTCGTCTTCCTCAAAGAGAGGTGTAGTTGAGCAGTCCCACCCGCTGGAGCACTCCTGGACCTTCTGGTTCGATAACCCATCTGCCAAATCCAAGCAAGCTACTTGGGGTAGCTCTATGCGACCTATTTACACTTTCGCCTCCGTCGAACAATTCTGGGGGTAACTATTCCTTCTTTCTCTTTCCTATGCTTTTCCCAATTTTTTTTATTTTTTTTTAATTTTCGATTTGAAGGTTGGGTTGCTAAGACAATGGAAATTTATAATTTATTTTTGGTTTTGTTCAGTTCTGTGGCTGATTTCTTTCTCTTCTTTTTCCTTATTACGATGATATGCTAGATTTTAGCTTTAGGCATCTGAAAGAGAAGATCGTTTTTCGTTTTCTTTTCTTTTCCGAATTTGGGTTTCGGTAACATTGGAGATATTTGCTGAAAACTGGAATTGAAGGTTTGTTATCAGTCAATTGTTCCTAGGACTATTTTTATTTGATATATGATGGAATTCAGTGCAAGCTGTTTTCACTATTGTCGTTGAAAAATGTCTTGTGTAAGGATTTTGGAGCTACCTTCTACAGAGATCTGTTTCCTTGGCCCCCGTTTCATACAATTGCTTGTTATTGAAGTGATTTGTTCTTTTAATCCAATACAATCAACCTTGTGGAAATCACTATTTGACATAAGGGAACTTAATCTTTGTTTATTAAAATTTTGGGATTGTTGCTTGCTGCCTCTAGGTGAATAACTTTTATGATCATCAAAGAACAGCTATGGTAACTGTGACCATGTTGCCGCCATTGATTACTGATTTCATGATTCACTTCTTTTGTTAGTTGCTGTTTGTTTCTCCTGTGAATGTCACTTAAATATTTACCTTTTGAATTATTCTGATTACAGTCTTTACAATAACATACATCATCCAAGCAAGTTGGCTGTGGGAGCAGACTTTCATTGTTTCAAATATAAAATCGAGCCAAAGTGGGAAGACCCTGTCTGTGCTAATGGAGGAAAGTGGACTGTAACTTTCCCTAGGGGGAAGTCAGATACGTGTTGGCTGTACACGGTATTGTTTCAGCTAATGTCATGCTTTCTTGTGTATGTGAAATTTGAGGCTTAATGGACAATGTGGCCTGATCTCTTATGCATCTGCTGTACTAGTTACTGGCTCTGATTGGAGAACAGTTCGAGTATGGTGATGAGATCTGTGGAGCAGTTGTCAGTGTGAGAGGCAGGCAGGAAAAAGTAGCACTGTGGACCAAGAATGCTGCCAATGAAACTGCCCAGGTGACTAAGAGTTACTTGGTTAGGAAAAATGGCTTGTGCAATTCTAAAACCAATTTTCATGGGTTTTTGTTTTTGATGCAGATAAGCATCGGGAAACAGTGGAAAGAGTTGCTTGATTACAACGACACTATAGGCTTCATATTTCATGTAATGGCTCTTTGAATTTGTACAGATCTTTCATATCATGCTGATCTCCGAAATCTTTTGTTTCAGTTTATATCCAAGTTGTGGGTATAAACTCATACTTCTATTTGCTCTTTCAGGACGATGCAAAGAAGCATGACAGAGCTGCGAAGAATCGCTACACCATATAACTTGTATAGAGTTCTTCTCTACTAGATGCTGAGCAGATGCCCGATTGCTTTTCAGGACGCCTAAAACACCTGTGGCCTTTCTTTTTGCCTCTGTTCACATTCTCATTTGTTTCTCTTATGTCTGTTTCTACAAGAATTTTTAGCTATATAAGCGAATGTTATACTGCACTCCTTAGAAATTTCAGTTTGACCATTCATAGGATGCTTATCAGTTACGAGTCCTTTTTGTTATATGGTTTTGGAAACAATGCCTCGTATGATATTTATAACTCTTAATCTTGCTAACTGGTATTGACAGGGTTACCTTTTTCAACTAACCCGGAATCATGTCAAACTGGATTGATATGGTTAATTTGTTTCTATATGAGTTACAGAATCTGCTGTTTGGTTTGGTTTTGGCCTGATTGCTAATAGACCAAAACAACGAGCCATGACCTTCTTGACTGAATCTGACCAATTAGTTCCTGCATGCCCCGGGCAATGAAACAAACTGTGTGAGAATGCAGGGCCTTGTCGAGAAACTCAAATTTCCATGGAATCATGGATTGTTGAGAAGATCATGAACAGCAGCTATAAACAAGAATACTAGATTAAAAAGGAATGCTATGTTGCTGGGAAATCCAAATGGATTAACAGCAAGTCATGACAACTGCCAATTAACAGCAGGCCTAAGCACGTTTCCATACAAAATACTGAAAATAGTAAGTACGTAGTAAAAGAAGTTAAAGCACAGATTGTTCACCCTACCAGTTACAGAAAACCATAGACCACATAGCCCAGGAGGACAGGACAGCACTGATGTAGTCATGTGTCTTCTCCCTAGCAGAAATTGGAAACCATTAAGAAGCCGGAGGGTAAGACGACATTCTCGAACCAGGGTCTGGTCTCGCACTTAAAAGAGCTTCTTTCCTGCACATTGCCACAACAACCACCAGTTAATTAGTCAGATTTAACTTTCAAATCTCTGGCACAGGAGGAAACATATTAAACCGTTTCCCAGACAACAACCTGGGCTTGTAGATATGTTGTGCTGCGAAATTGGCTAGTTCAAGCAGAATGGGTTCAGGATTTGGCAGTGGGGGCTGCTGCTGCTGCTGCTGCTGCTGCATTACTTTATGGTTGGTAACTCTGATCATCATTTGGTCTCTTGTAGTTCTAGCTGGTAGGTTGTAATGCCTTGGCGGCTTCGATTGAGGAGTTTTGCTGGCTGGAGGTGCAAAGGGAATCAAAAGGCCCAAAATGGATGACTCCCTGCTTTGGGCTTCGATAGGACAGAGGAAAGTGTCTTTGGTTTATTTGATGTTTGACTGTGAAGGGCGGTGCTGGGAGGAAGTGTCATGAAATCATCTGTTGTGCATAACTGCCATGTGTTGTGGTGCTTGGAAGTTGGGAATTCACACTTGCCTTGCTATGCCTTTTTTGCATTTCAACTCCGTCTTTCAAATAGTTTGTTTTCTCCATTTCTAAATGAAAGAGATGTTTCAAGACCTCTATTCTTTTTTAATTTAAAAAAAGAACACGATTCCATTAATGAAAGGGCATTGGACTCCCCTGTCAAAATCTTAGTCTTAATGCAGCTGTAAAACTTCTCTACAGCCTAGATAGAACATTCAAGCTGCAGCCATGACCTCGCGTTACCAGCCCAGCACACAGCATTCCTAATTCCTATTCTGAGGTAGCATCATAATCATATGAGTATCAACATACCATCAGTGTACAATCAGCTGTCACACCTATTTACCATTCCCTTTGCATTTCAGTCACGAAAATTGTCTCAGAACTCTCTTCCTGCATCACGTCTGTACTCAAACACCAGCAGCATGTCTTGTGACCTTAATTTGTACTCCTTTAGCAACTTGATCCGCCTTTTCATTTGGTTCACGCAACATGTATTGGATTTGTCATCTACTAATTTGAGAGTTTAGAGATTGAATCAACTTACAGTACTTGTCGAATCACTCTCAATCAACAAGTAATTTAAATAAACGTATTTATAAATGAAAAAGATAATAAATAACTCTTTAATAACTAATAGTTCAGCAGGATTGGGGTTCATTATTCCTACCGTTTTGGAAAACATCAATATTACCACACCTGCTTCGTTGTGCAGGACTCCTCCTTGCTTCCTCGATTTTCCTTTTGATGACCGTTCAATATATTGAATTTAAACTTGAGGATAATAGTTTTTTTTTTTGGTTAGACAGTGATAAAAATATATAAATATTTCTATTGATACATTAATTTATCAACCTTATTTCTTAAGGTTAAGATATATACAGTATCATTAATTGAATTTTTACGTATTTTCCTTGAAAAAGATCATTGTAATTAAAGATGCGAGTTTACCAACCTATTACTAGTTTTATTGTGATCACACGCTTGCACATCGTGTTCTTCATATGCTGATTAAACGCTTTGATTTATTGTGAAACATACCAGTAATTAACCACACATTTTATTCATATTAGTAAAATGTTATTCATTCGACTGCTGGACATATCCAACTAACCATGACAAACAACTTATTTTTCCAACGCAGCCCTACAGAAGCAGCTGGGCTCACGTCTCATCTTACAATCAAAGCTGCATTTATTTTCATACCACACGAACTATATATATATGCTACACATACTTTATATGATTCAATTTATTACCAAACCATATAGCATATATATATACACATATGAAAGTGGTTTTCAACATCAAGCAGAGTTGCCTTCTCCATTTTCAATGCTCATATGCTGCAGATATGTCTTTCCGTTGAGCTTACGGGAAAAGAAATCTTTGACGTATTGCTCCATCCTGAACCTTTTAAACAATGGAGGGTTCTTCGGATTTATCAGGCTAGGTGAAGGCCCAACCTCAGCCTCAAACTTGGGGTTGATGAAAAAGGCAACGGAGATTCTTTCTTTCTCTGAATTGGCTGTTGCCCTGTGCTCAATGCTGCGGTAAACCCCGTTGCTGAAGATCTGGCAGCAATGAAAATCAAGAATCAGATCAGCCATATTGCAAAAAATAAACCAATAAAAAACATTCGGAAAATTATGACAATGCTATTTAGGTGGGTAGGGTTATCTCTTCTTGAAAAGATTGTTTAATCACAGCAATTTTTTATTTTCCTTAAAGTCAGCAAGAGAGAGACCTCAAGAACGTCTCCTACATTCACGACAAAGGCATCTGGGAGGAAGCTCACGGGGAACCAAACTCCACCTTTCTTTATCTGAAGAGCATCTACTCCATTCACTTGGTTCAGTATGGTGAGAAGAGTTGCATCAGAGTGAGGTGTAATGCCCATCACCAGCTCTGGTTGTGGACATGGAGGATAGTACGTCATCCTCACCGATTGCATCCCATCGTCAAACAACTCTATCATCTCCGTCACGTCTATTTTCAAAGCTTTCGCCATCAAACTAAGTAGTTTAGTGGCAAGCTTTTGCAGTTCCAAGAGGTACGACTCCAAGGTATTTCTGCATGCAACAACCAAAAAAAAAAAATCACAAGAAATTAGAGGAAAGCAGATTGTATGGTATTGAAGTAAAATTCACTTATGCAGACCGCAGATCAGGGCCATAAATTAAGACTTGCAACCGGGTTTGTCAAAGGGTTAAAAAGACGGAAAAATGGAGAAATTATTAGATTGAATTTTTTCTGTAATTAAAATTTATTATGTGAACATTCTCATTTAATTGTTTTGAAAATAATTATAATGAAAATTATAAATTCATCTATGTCATATAATAATTTTTATTTATGTATTATATTTTTTATAATTGATATATTTTTCATAAAAAAACCAATTCATCTCTTTGGATAACAATGCGTTAATTTTACAATAACAAAATAAAATTTTGATTTAAATATTCACATCATTTAAAATGAATATATGAAACGATAAATTTAAGTAACTTTTTTAATTTGATAGCGGTAGAATCAATTTTAAGATAGGCCAATACATAGAGTGCCAAACATGTCTCCAGGTTTAAGAAATTTGTCTATTCGTTCATATGTTTCCAACATAAGGGTCTCTTTGTTTTGACTACAATATTTTCTAAAAACTGTTTTCAAGACTTATATTTATTTGGAAGAACAAAAAATTATTTTAAATGTAAAACATTTTACTAGTTAGTAAGAAAAATACTCATTAATTACATAAAATGTCTTACGCCCTTAAGAGATGTAAAATATTATTTAAAAAACTTAAAAATATTAATATTTAACTAAAAAAATTTTAACTTAAAATAATAATATTTAAATTATTCAATACTATTAAAATATTAAAAAATATTTTTTAATGAAATCATTCAATACAATTAAATTTTTTTTATAAATTAACTAAATCTTACTAATAATTATAATAAAAAATATTTCAATGATCATCACTTAATGAATACATATTTATAAATATAAGTTTGGATGTTTTATATAATTGATAAATATTGATATTTCATAGTGTTATGGTTAAAAAAAATGAGATCAAATTTTTTTTGAAAATTAAAGTTTTATTCATTATAGATATGCAGCTAAATGTTTTGAAAATATTATTATTTATTTATGTTCACTTTCATTTTTATTTTTAATTTTGATTCAAAATTAGTGAGAATCAAATTATACCATTATTTTGTAATCAATTTCTATTTATCATTTTAACCTCCAATTAACTCTACTAATAGTGAAAAATATTTTTTACAAAATGATATAAATAATATTAAATTTTTTTATCAAAAGGGCGATAAGTATTCAACTAACCATCATTGACGGTCTGCTTTTATTGATGTGCTTTTGTACTCGGCCTTTCCAAAATGGTAATAATAATAATAAAAAATAAAAGAGAAGAGAGAGAACCTTAAGGATGAAGGGAGCTCTGGCAAGAGATGAGGCTTTCGTCTGTGGATAGGGTTGGTTATCATAAAAAACCTGTCTGCCCAGTCAAGTTTTCCTGCTTCTCTGGCCGTATTGCCGTACCCTTCGACCTCACCTGCTCTTATCTTGTATTTCATTTTCTCTTCCAAGGGAAGCTTATAAAATTCTTCCAGCTCGTGTTTCAGTTTCTCCAGTAGTGAAGAGCTAACACCATGGTTCACCAACTGCAAAGCAAGGCCACAAACTTCTTAGGTTCTTTTGTCGTCAATATTGATTTATTGTAAACAGTTTCGTTTTTTATTTTTGGTTTTGTTTTAATGCTAGTGTAACAAACAAATATTGACACATGGGTCCAAACCTTGAGACTCTGTCAAGGTCGGAACATAGCAATATCATATAGTTAAAAGAACTTCACTACTTCAGAATAAGACATGAAGCAAATTTCATGCACATGCAAGTTTATAAAGACCATTTAGTTGGATCTTGGAAGTAAAATCTCTCTCTCTCTCTCTCTCTCTCTCCTACACCTCAAGATCCAAAAGAATACTGAAAATCCCTGTTCTAACATGTTTTTACTGACCTGATGAGGCTTAAATTAAGGTGAATTGAGAAGAATTATAACCTGAAAGAGACCCCACTCTTTGCAAGTTGAGTGCAACTTCTCGAGTTCATGACCATCATCCTCCCCGGAAACCAATCGAGACATGTCGATGGTCGGGGTAGTTATTGGCGAGGGACTACCGTAAGGGAGGGAAGAAGGAGGTTCTTGATCTAAACGAATAAAGTTTTGTGGGATTGTGATTATCGGCTCTTTCACAAGCTCCTGAAGACTAATCTCTAAAAGAGAGTGGCTGAGCTCTTCTACCTGTAATGATGCCATATTGCTAAAGTCGATGTGCTTCATTACAACCCCAGTAGAAAGAGTATTTATAGGGAAAAAGAGTAGCTCACAAAAAAAAAAAAAAAACTTGAAATGTTTATCAGAAACAGAAATTCCAGGTTTACCAGGAATGTTAACAATAAGCAGATCGTACTTGGGTAAAAATCAAAACATGGTACTAGCAAATTGAAATACTAGGTACTAACGGGGTCGACCATTGTAATTGCTTTATGTTTTCAGATTTATTTCTTATGCTGCTTGCTGCAAATATTCATGCAAATTTCTATATATATATACACACACACAACAAATTTCATAGGAATCATACGTACTTCTATGCATTACTTGTATATTGAAGCATTAAAATTTGAAGCTTTCCTATTAATTAACGAAAGTATTTTAATATCATTTGAGAAATCTTTAAAGTTACATCCTTAGAGAAATGGCGTTTCCATTGCTTCATATATGCAGAAATAATTTTATAGCAGGTATTTGAACATCGAGAGGAGTTCAAGTCATCCCCAATATATCATACAAAAAATAAAATAGTATTTGAAACCAATAAAGTTGGATAAATGATTCAGTCAATAACTTTGTAAGTTGATCATCATTAAATAAAGGATTATAATGTTGGATTATCGTGTTTAGGTATTAAATCATAAAGGGATAAGAAAGAACCTTTCGCATAATTAGTTGGGTATATGATTTTGAATTAAAAGTTCATCAAGGGTAGGGTGGACTTAAGAATTTTTGTAAGTGGTGTTATAATTAAAATAATAATAATAATAATTTAAAAAATATGCTAAAATTCATAAATTAGAACTTTTAATATTAAATTAAAACAATATAAATTCAGTATATTTATTTAATACTTCAAAGTAAAAATATTTTAAAAAAATTATAATTATCCATAATGATTTTTTATATGTTGAAACGTTACATAATAGCATCAATAAAAATACTATCAAATACATCTTTTTCAATATGTATCATCAAACAATTATTCATCCACTTATCACTCATTCAATTACGTAACCTGTGCTTTATAAATTGAATTACTGAAAAAACTCTTTCAATTGATATCGTTGCAACTGGTAAGATCAACACAAATTTTATCAGTAAATAAACTAAACGATACATAATATTAATTTCTATTTGTCTCAACCATCACCAATTTCATTAACTTTAACAAATTTCTAATCTGAAAGCAAGTTTTGCAATACATTTTTCAAATCGATTTTCAAATGTCACTAAATTCAATGTTGAAAATTCAAAAAGATACAATTGAATTATACGAATCAATCTTTCTTTGTTAAAGGTAGAAAATGATATTAAGATTTAAATTTTTAAATACAAAAAATAATTTAGATTTTAATTTTTTTAATAAAATTTTAAATTAGAGAATAATTTTTTTTATTTTTATGTAATATTTAAATATTAACATATAAATTATTTTTTGATAAATTTATATTTTAAAAATATTTAAATATTTTTGAAAAATATTTAAATATTATTAATATATAGATTTTTCTACTCTTGACTTTACTTTTTATAAAATTATAAAAAAATTATTGAATTTATTAATATTATTAAATATATAAGATTTTGAATAAATATTTTTTTAATTGAATAACGTCATGTGACACCACTTCCAGGTTTGTGGGTCCGCGCAGGGACACTTGGACAAGTGTAAACCGTCCGAAGAATATTAAAACAAAGCTAAATAATTCAATCTTTTAATAATTACGCCAGCATTCTGAATATACACTAACAAACAAAACTCATCCATTGTTCTATTCAACCCTGTTTTTCTGAACCACATTTCTATTTCAGAAAATTGCAAAAAAAGGTAAAACAAAAAATTCATGATGGTGGACGTGCCAGCGACTTAAAATTTTGATTTAACAATTTAGAGTAGCTTGCTGTCGAGTCATGAGCTAGACCCGTTAGATGAAACAAAATAACTATATTCATTTCAATGCATGCACAGTTAAGTTTTCTTTAATGTTTGTATCTGATTGAATACTCGAATCTGATGGATGTAAGTCATTTTCACCCATTACGTGTTAACTAAGGCTTGTATTTTTCTATGCAAAAACTACAGTTAAAAAAAACGTGCTTAATTCCCAAGTATCTTTTCATTTGTCTAATCACCACGTTGTTACACGTGGCTTGACGTATTTTCTGGTTTCTGATATTTAATATTTAAAAGGCCAGCCACGTTTTTAATTGTGACGTCTGGGGGTCTGCTCTGCCCCTTCCCACGACTCGTTCAAAATGCCATTAATTTACATGTCGTCATCAATGATGAAAATTTCTCATCAAACAAAATCTAGATTATTTGGTTCATATCCAATGACTGCACTACCCTCACGAATCCGTCGCTGCAAAATCACCTCGGTTCTGTTGATGTACGCGGAGCGCTTTGCATCCTTAATTCTCACCTAATATCCATGAAGTTATTGCACCTTCTGCAATGGATTGCTGGCTGCACATAATTTGATGTTCAGAAAAGACACCTCAGTTGCTCTGTCAATTAGGTGTAATTTTTCTTCGGAAATGTTTGGTTTACTTGATCAGATGTTGGTTCTTACTAGTTACTTTCTATGAACTTTCACCATTTGCACGTTTTGAAATCACTGGAATAAAATTTGAGCAGAGATTCCTAACAACCAGATTTCATTTATTAAGGAAATGGTGATATGGTTCTACCACCGTTTTACGAAAGCCCAAAGCATCCAGTCATTAGGGAGGCTAGAGTAGAAGAACAATAAAAATCCTCCTATCGAACATGGAGATTGCTATCTAGCACATGCACATGCTAAAGCAATAACCGACAATGATGTAGCCTGTAATTACTTTGTCTATTATGTTTCTACTACCTCTTGTTATTTATGTCTCAGTCTATTGTACGTTTGTTGTCTTGTCCACGGCCGTCGCGTCTGTTGTAAAGAACTGGTTGTTGAGAAGGCAGATAAGTATCCAGGCGTAGGTCAATATTCTGAACATGGTAGATGCAAGGAACGGCTTGTACAGGAAGTGTATTGTTTATTGTCATGTATAGGGAGTGTGGCTGGTAGAGTGAATGCTTTCTGATACCTTGATTAATTTGTACAAACTGTGAGGTTTGTATTCTGGGTGGAGTCTTCTTCCACCTATTGTTAATGGCTAAAGGCTTGCCTTAGCATTTTCTACTTACTTACACCAGTTAATGAAAGCCGTGCATTTCATAGCGAAAAGGGTTGCAACAACCAATTTCCTGCATGTACCCCGTTTGGCTTCCTCGACATAAAACAGAGCAACCGGTTCTTTTTGAGCAGCCAAGCCAAATGGCTGTGGTAAGACTTAAACATTGGTCGGAAGCAAGCAAACTGAACCATGTGTACCGTGGATGCAGTAGCAGACGAAGCATCATACGCTATATAGCTCAGAGATAAGCAGTAAGGTCATTAGAGCGTGTATAACTTGGGATTTTGCAAGGTCATCTACTTTAACAAAAACAAAGCTATTTGAAGCTCAAGCCTATTATGGTAAATTCTTATCTCAGAATGGATAAAATCATGCTGCTTGGTGAAGTTAAGACAGTCCTGCTGGGTTAATATTAGATTAAAGCCGACAGAGGTTCATCACCAGCTCCAGCCTGCAATTGGATTGTCATTTGAGAAGGCAACGATCGTTTTAATGATAAAAATGTGGAAGTAATAGTACCGATTTAATTTGATTAGTCTAATAATACTAGTTAAAGCAAAGCAATTTGGAATCTGTTAACTCTGCGGTTTCCGCACGCAATTAGTGCCTGGTCCTGAGATGTTCACAAAATAGACCTTAAACTCATCTCTAACTTGGCTAAATCTTCACTATATATTCCAAGGGACGAAGGGCTGCACATTGACTTGACCTATCAATTTCAGGATCACCCCATCAAAGAGAAAATAAGAAAGAAACTACTCAACGTTCCAATCCTGTCCTGGAAATAATAAATGTATATCTACATAGACCGACCAACAATGACCTACAAAACAATTCCCCTTTCTTAAATTATGCATGCAATACAGTTTGGTGTTGTCTTATCGCGTGGATTGCCTGTAATTAAGTTCAGGTAGGCCATGAAATTGCAGTGTTTAATTAATTGATTGGAAAGTCTTAGTATTAGCTTTGTTTTTTGGTGTGGAAGTAGAAAGAATGCAGCTCACAGATGTAACACCGTAAATGTTAGAAATTAATCAGGCAATAAATTACGGTACGCAGTTTATTAATTAATATTTGGTCAGAACATAGGTAGCTTAAACAACACATTGAACATGTGGAGGGCTTATTTTGTTTTACATTAGTTCCTTTAATTTTTTCCCCAGGCTTTTCTACTCTTCTAGTCACAATACTAAAACAAACAAAGGATTTAGAAAGTTCATAGAGGAGAAAAGCGAAAGAAATGAAAACTCTTTTCATTATTATTTATTATTTTCTTTTCTATCGGGGTATGCAACGTGCTTAAAGAGACAGATATAGAAAAATGAATGGAAAAAAGAATATTGTTTCCATTGATTGATACAATATAAAGTGAAAGTAAAGGAAATGAAAAGCCCATTGTTTTTCTTTTCCATCCTTTGAAAGTAAAGCGTGGGTGAAAATCCATTTTCCTTCGTTTGTTTATTCTTTCCAGGCACCCACTCCTTTCCACCCATCCTCTCAAGAAACGATAAGAATAATCACATGAAGCAACAGTATTACTGGTTGGCATTCAAGATTTTTGAGCCTCAAATATTTGATGACACCTCAAACGAAATGAACAAATATTGAGTCTTAAGTATGGAGCAAGTAGAGTTATAGATCAAGAATATAATATAATTATAAGTAATATGATTATAAAAAAGATTATATTACAGTATTTGATATATAAATAAAATAATAATTAAAATATATAAATGATAATATTGTAGCGTTTAATTTAGAAGTACTTTTCTGATAATATAATAACAATTTTTAGAATCATCCCTATTTAT